GCATGACACTGCGAATGTTTGTGAAGAGGACGGAAACATTTTGGTTTCTATCGCGTGTTGCAGCTTGATGCGATGACAATAACGTTTTGTTTTTGTTTTCATTCCGACAAGCTAGTTAGGAGAGTTCGATGACAGATTGAGACTCAGGGTTAAATACGAATCGTTTATTGTTAATATTCAATTTGTTGAAAGGTACTTTAAACGGTACGTTTAAGTTTTTTCCGTATTGAAAAAGTTTGCTTCGAGCGAGTCGCACAGACTCGGAAAAATCTTCACGCACAGCGTAAGGGGTATCTTTTAGCTTGAACAGTGGTGGCCCAGCCATTTTAGGTTTTGGAGCAATTTTTGGAGCAAGAAAAACCCAATTTTGGAGCAATTTGTATCACATAAACTCCCCTTTTGGAGCAGGGAAAAGCTCGTTTTGGAGCACCTTGGTATCAGGAAAACTAAACATTTTGGAGCAGCATGAACATAGAGCAGTCCTGTGCCATGTCTTTATTATTATATATATATTACGGCTGCCCTTGTCAATCTTACCTCACCCCCCATATATATATATATATATATATGTCTGTGTGTGTCACGAACATCTGAATTTCATATAGTAATTTACAAAGAAAAGAACTCACCATAAGAAAAAGATTTTATTTATGACAAAACATTCTTGCAGCTAAAGCTTAGCTATGTAACAAAATATCACAGATGAAAACTAAAATATTGCTTAATACTTCTTGCCTTTTGACTGTAGGCTATATATCACAGGTGAAAAAAAAATATTGACTCAATGCTTTTTGCATTTCTTTTTCAGTTCGTCCAGCTCGCAAAGAGTGCGTGACAAAGTAGCATTGGCTTCAGCTAACATAGTTTGGCCACCTTCTACTTTTTCCAAGCTTTGGCACTTCAGTCCTGCACCAATGGTCTCTTCCGCCCTCTTCAGCAACGCACGGCACGAGATCACCCTTTTCTCCAACTGCTTCTTTAAGCGCTTGTCGTGCGAGTTGTCAGCATCAACTTGTGCGCTCTCAGGCTTTTTTCTCTTCATGTCGGCCTCTCTGCTTCCAATTCTTTCCTCATACCGGGCTCTTGCTCTTTTGACGCTTCGCAGAAGGTCTGGTGACAGGGGCACCTTTGTGGCATCTCCATCATACCTCTGCAGGTAGGTCTTCACTTGCCGCAATCCGTTGATGCTCGCAATGCACAATGAGGCTCGGCCTTCAAGGAGATGCTTATTCTCACTGAAGCGGCGTGTGAAGCCTCGCTCACAGTCCGCGTTGCCATGAGGTAGAGAGAGCAGCGCTTTTACTAGCCTTGACAACAGTGGGTACTTCTGCTGACCAGCTGCGCACTTTTGTTGAAATACTGTAGCCCAACGAGTGTCGATCCGTCCATCTTCCATCAACTGAAGGCTGTTAGCAGAGTCACATCTCAGCAGATGCCACTCATCGACCAGTGATGACACGTGGTCGCTCTCAAGCACTTGAGGCAGCTGGGAAGCAAGGTATCGCAAGGATCGGACTTCTGACTCCACGTCGCTGGGCTGCAATCCCAAGAGACTTGTGTGCTGAAGGACTTTATTGTCAAGAGGCAGCTTCTGCTGGAGGTCTTTCGAGCAAGCCAAGTAGAAGTCACGGGCCCCAAGAAGTAACCGCTTCTTTTCACCTGGATCCCATTTTAGCATTGCCTGCTCAGTGTCCATACCCACTTCTGGTTTGGTTTTCCACAGGGTAGAGTCCTGCACATCGAGTTTCTTCAGTTCCTTCGCACTCTTGTCCACATAGGCTGCACTCCTCAAACAACGGCTGAGGATTCGCTGGACTAGAGACAGCAACTCCGCGTGGAGTATGTGTAGCAGGGGCTCTTGCTTCTGAAACAGTGTCTGAAACCGAGAAAAAAGCTCGGCACAGTTCTTCAAGAACAACACCTTGGCATAAAGGTCTTTCTTTGAAAATGCTGCAGCAAGCTTGCTGTGAAGATTCTGAGTGTCCACTCGCTGCTTTGTCATGCTTGCCTTGTGAAAGTATGACTTCAGCGCTTCGAATTGTTCTAGGACACGACACAGTGAATCTTGAAGTGTGAGCCAGCGATTGGAGACATGACGTAGAAACACATGAGAAGCAATCCCTAGAGCCTCCTGACATTCTCCGAGGGCTTCAGCACGAACAGCGCTTTTGAAGTAGTAGTAGACGTTTCGGACGACCTCCTCAACATCCGAGCCAAACGCATCGAGACCTTTTGCAAAAGCATTGTGGACTTTGTGAAGGTTGCAGTTGTTGATGTCAACCAAACTTGATGGCATATCCTTTTAGAGCTTGTTCCTCACGCTTTTCATGACATTAGGCCCGTCACTGAAAAAAAAAACAAGCCCTCTGCTCGGTAGCTCAGTCAGCGCGCCTTCTACGCAGCCCACAATTACTTCCGCAGTGGCACGCCCGAGGCTGCACGATTGCACATGCTCAACGACAACCTGTTGCTGGCTGTTAGAAAAGTACCTAACAAGCACATCCAGTTGCTGCGTTCTTTGCTCTGGCTTTGGGGTTTCGTCGATCATCACGGAGAAGAAAACATTTGGGTGGCACAGCTCACTCACAACTCTGGACTTGAAGTAAGGGCCGAGTCCATCGGACACGATGCGTGATAACTTGGATCTGCTGCAGCTAAACTTCTTAGCAACCTCGCTGTCCGGGAACATACACTCGTACATTCCCGTAGCACTGTCTCCCCACGAGAAAGGGATAGACTTTGAAACAACGGACATAGCGAAAATTGATTCCGCTTTCCACACTTGGTCTTGGAGTGATGTGCCAGAAGCACCTTGCGAGAAATCCAATGCGGCTTGCACCAATTTGGGGGGCTGAAGGTTTCCGTCTTCATCTCTGTGCCTTGCAGCAGCTTCAACATGTTTCTTCAATGCTGCGTGACGTTTGATGGCAGCTACTCCATGTTGTGCGCAGGAAATTGATGAATTGCAGAGGACGCAAAATGCATCAGTTTTGTGAGTCCCCTTTTTGCACCAGAGACTAATTAAATCATTATTTGAGTCCACCTCACTGAGTACTGAGTCTTTAAACTTGGTGCTTCGCTCTAGAAAAAAAGGACAAAATTACAACTTTAAACAAACCAAGAAAATACGCCAAAACTTTTTTGCCATGATCTACAAACTTTAAAGTTACCGCGGTAAATATGTATTTACACAATTGTAAGTCGACCTGTTTTTCGTGATCGTGATAAATATACTCAAGGCGTCCGAGAATCCGAAACTATAGCGATTTATTAAACATGTTTGTAAGCTCTATTCTGAGTTCGCACGCAGTGCGACAGTATGACAACCAAGGGGTGACCAATCGTTTACGGCATTTAAACTTAAAACGCGCATGCAGAAAAAAAAAGTACTCACGTTTGCTCATCTTCAAGAGGACTTAGTAGTGACGATGCACAAATGAACAGCCACAACGCCGCATATCAAAACGGTCGCAACAAAACAATAATGCGCAATAATGCCACTGGGCCAACTGGGCCAGAAACCTGAATTGGATTGTGATGGCTATGGTAACGGCTCTACCCTTTATTTCGGCGGCAGCTTGCGCCACCTAGCCTAGAAAATAAAACTCCCACCGGGCTGCCAGCCGAAAACGCCATTCTTCCAAAAAAGGATTCGTTCACGGACCGACTATACTTCGTTTCAGCTTCGGTCCGAGCGCGGCCGATGTTATGATTCAAAGGGTCAATCAAACAGCAAAAGAGGCACAACGTCATGGCGTGCTCTCTGCAGTTGATAGGACCAGCCGGTATTCGCCGTCTCTCTGTGCGTGCTCCTCCGCCGGCTAGTCCTATCAAGCGCAGAGAGCACGCCATGACGTTGCGCTCTTTACGCTGTTTGATTGGCCCTTTTGCTCGTAACATCGGCCGCGCTCGGACCGAAGCTGAAACGAAGTATAGCCCTTTTTGGCGCAGTTTGGCGCAATTTGTGTCTTTAGGCGCAGCAAGGCGCAGGTAAAGGAGAATTTATCAAAATGGCGCAATTGGCGCAGCTGGACCACGCAGCTGCCTGAAACCCGAGGACAAAATGTTTTCTTTGTCTTTAAACCGGGCAAACTTGACAATGATTGGTCTAGTTTTCTTGGAATTGAATTTTCCCAGCCGGTGCGATGTTTCAAGATTTGAGGGGTCGAGCGCAATGCCCAAGTTCTGCGCGCAAAACTGGATAATTCTTTCTTCCGATTGCCCCCACGTTTCGGATTGGTTATCAGGGCAACCAAAAAACAACAGATTCCTCCTCATAATGAACGATCTTGAAAAACAAAATTCGTGTATTCGTGTGTAACACGCGTAGAGTGCCCGCACAGCCTAAAATTTCAACTTTTAAACATGTATAGACCTTGGACTATAGCCCGGAAAATACGATATAAAAAATAAACACACTGTTAAATATAAAGTCAGAGCCAGCAGCGAGCTGCAGAGTGGATGTTTACAACAATTAACCCTCCCAACTGCTTGAGAAATTTCCCGTCAAATTACGAGGGCGGCCAATATCTTTGTGTACGTCTTAGAGACTCGTGAATCGAGTGCACTGGAAACTTCCGTTTTCGAAACCGCTAAAACGTCGTTCAATGACATTGCATCGTCACAAAGATGTTAGCCGCTCGCTTATGTTGTCTGGCTGCATGAATGTTGTTGCAAAAACAAACACCAGAAACGCTTCCATAAAAGCTCGTACTCACGAGTTCTCCTAAGCCGCAGGGGCTCTGGGTAAAGGCGCCGCCGCTGCAGCACGGATAAATAAACACCTGCATATTATAACGGAAACATAACGTGCTGAAAAAAAACAAAAAAACACGAAAAGCACGATGTGTCGGTGGACGCCCGTGTTCTCAGACCGCGGATTTCGAACACGCTCGAGCGCTTTCCGTCTTCAACCGAAAGCACTCGAACCGCGAACATGAAGAATTATTCGATTACAATACGTAAGCAAGACATTGCAAGGATAAAGTCACATTGCATACCTTGAAGTGGGCGATTTAGTCGTCGATGAGCTGATGAGGCCCTGATGCATCACAGAAGAACCAAGGAGGTGGCGTCCCTATCCCCAATGCACGGAGCGAAGTGTAACGGAAGTAGGCGTGGCCACGAGCCGCAACGAGCATTTCTTGACCAATGGGAAGCCTAGTGAGTTTGCGCCGCCATTAATTTCGGTGCAAACAACCGCGTGACCGCGTTGCGATGACATTTCCGTCGCAACGGTCGCAACGCGACTGTGTGCACCGAAAGTAATGGCGGCGCCCACTGTTATTTGAAACAGCGCTTAACGGGAGACTTTTAAACCGGTATGGTCAGAATTGGATGAGATTATTATAAACGAACGCCTGGTTGCCCAGCAGAAAGTGACTAGAATTGAGACGCTCTAGACGACGCACCGTGAAGGACTTGGCGGTGCGCAACGCATTTTTTAATCAACAGCAGCAGCAGATCGCACGAGCGCGCATGCAAGCCAGGAGCGCACAGAACAACGGGCTCGCGCTTCCAGTCACACGCCGGAGCAGATTAGAAAGCAGACGAACCGCCGGTGCGCTACCCCACGACCTCGGAACGGGTGCGCAAGGCAGTCTGGGATCAAACGCTTCTTCCGGCTTCACTCAGGCTGACGTCATGCCGGGTCCTGTCTGTTTAAACGTTCTTGCAGAACAACACTACACTGACTGACCACGATGTTAACAGCCACCAAGGCGAGTTCGACGAACGCCCGAAGAGCGATAGCTGCTGCAACCTCTGTTTGCGCCTACGCGGCACGGGCGCACGACCAACGCACGACTCGAAGCAAAACAACAGAGATGGGAAAGAGCAGGCGGCAACAACGAGATGTTGCAACCACCGCAACAACGCACCAACACAACAACCAACACCGCCATTCTGCGAGAGAGGAGGGCCAGGGAGGGCCGCGAAAGAGCTGCGGGGCTGCGCCAGCCGGATTGGCCGGATGCAGCTGTGAGGTTCCGCGGGTGGCCAAAGTGTGGCGCCACAAGAAGCTTTCGTACGTCTATTCATAAGTCTTCGTAGATCCATTCATTCGTTCCAACCCAGACGTGGTTTTCAGTCTCTCCGCTGCAGTTTTGAGCGTCGTGTCGGGCAAGTTATCTTCACCACCATATGATATCAGCCTGCACGCTTTCAGCCAATCATGGGCGTTCAGGGAGAGATCCGTTATCGACCGTTATTTTTTGTTTGATCTTCCGGAGCGCGTGCGGGCGAGCGTTGTGCGACGTTCGCGAAACCGAGACCTTTGGCGGTGCGCGTCTGCGCGTTAGATGTTTCTTTCAACCAGTTCGGCGGGATGGCTGCTGTGTATCTATGGACACTACTGTGCAGCAAAGTGGTGCCGGAACACGACGAAAACCGCTGACAGCAGTTTTTTCCGTTTTACGACGGACGACAGGTGAGACTAGAAACTTCGTGCGCGCCATACTGAAAGAGGTGAAAGCGTTAACTTATGCGCGCTACTTTTCTTCTTTTCTATTTTCTTTTTCAAATAGAGCCAGTAAATGTATATGCTAGTGAAATCGCCCAGAATTCAAGTTGTTGCCTCTGAGCAAACTCCGCGAGCGTCGTCTCTGCGGCGAAGATTTCGCCGCGTCTGCCTTCAGAAGTTCAAGGAGGACACGACTCCGAGATAATGCGTGCCCATCTGTCCTAGTGACAAATCCACTATTGAAGGCCCTCGTCTCTCCAGGTGAGCCGGTTTCAAAAATGTTTAATTAGTGTTTGTAGGTATAATAGCAATTTTCTTCCATTTAAAATTACGTGAGATATCACATACCTTTTTGAGATATGAGCCCCTAGTTGGCCGAAATAGCCGTAATAGAGGCATGATATGATGCATTGCTGCACAAAGCTGAGACTATCACAGCGTAACTGAGGAGGTATCTGCTAGGGATGTCTGGGGATGTCGCGAACCATCCTAAGTTCGATTTCGAAAGGTTTCGATATTTGCGAAGCGAACTGAGGTTCGATTTCGAAAATTTCGATATTTTCGTACCGACCGAGGTTCGAAATCGAAAAAATTCGCAACTTTCGATCACAGTGGAGTTTCGAATTCGAAAAGTTTGAAGCTTTCACGGTTTCTAAAATTTCGGATTCGAATATTTCGATTATCTTTTTACTTCAGGTTGGATAAATTCGAAGATTTCGAAATTCTTTGGAAATAAAATTCGAAAACTTCGAACGCTTCGAATTTTTATAGACATTAAGTTCGAACAATTCGAAGATTTCGAATTTCTTTCTGCATAAAGTTCGAAAAGTTTGAAGGTTTCGATTCTCTCTGAACGCTAAATTTGAAAAAAAAACAAAGAAACTTAGAAGATTTTGAATTCCTTTTTAGTCCAAGTTTTCAAAGTTCGAAGTCGGGTTTTCAAGTTCCCCCACAGTTTCAGTTTCAAATAACGTTTTCACAACTCACTGGTTTTCACAAAATCAAGTTTAGAAAAGTTAGGGTGTGATATCTAGATTCTGCGAAGTTGGTCAGGCAATTAAATGAGACGACTAGTGTCCCGGATGTGCTGGAATATTTGCCAGTGCAGAGTGACATGTGACCATAAATCAGTAATTGTGACCGCCAGCCCGGTGGGGTGGGGACTTTAATTTGCATCACGCAGTAGTGATCACACGAACACACTGTTTTACAAGACTCATCCAGTTCGAAACGGCGAGGGGCGAGCAGAAGGTTGAGGCTCAGAAAAACCTTGAAGCGACCTGGCAAACTACCTCGCCACCCCTTGCACGCTGGTAGTAATCCGATCAAACGCCGCCCGAGTGACGCTGGCATATAGTAAGTTAAGTTTGTAATTGCCCTGGAGGTTTATTTTCTGGGTTAGAGGAATCACCTCGCAAAAAGCCGACACAACTCGAGGTCGAGGAGCGTTCTACCATACAAGTGGCGTCGGAAGAGGAAAAACGGGGGGAAAGAGGGTAGCGGGGGGGGGGAAGCTTCAGCTTCCTTCTCCCACTGCCAGATATTTTGGACTGTTAAAGAAAACAATACGGGGAAAGAGGGCATGGTCGAGCTTATTTTAATCTGAAATTATTTATGCATATGTATAGCTACTGTCGCTCTTCACTGCATAAGAGATTGCGTAGATGACCATTGTTAGAAACTCGTCAGAAGGCACTACTCGTCACATGCTTAGTGGTTCGGAAGTTCAAAGCTATGTCTTTTCGACCTAAATACCTGTGCCAATAGTAAAAAAAAAAAAAAAGAAAAAAAAGAAAGAAAGAAGGTTAAATGCGGCGATAAAAAGCTAGAAAAAAAAACTATCAAGAATTTGCCGGAAGTGTTGTATTCTTGCATATTCAGAGGTTCAGAACTTCGAAACAAGTTTCTTTTACCGAAATGTGTACAGGCTATAAGAAACACGTCCCAAGAACGTGAAGCGAAAAAAAATGTTTGTGCTGAACTTGAACACTATTAGAAATCTTCTCCCATGAGTTAATTTATTCCTTAACGTGAAAAAACAATAAATACATTATTTTGTATTCTGCAGATGGCAATGATATGTACTGTCTGTGGTGTTAGTTTAAATGCGATACCTCAAACAACTTAGACAAAAATAAATATCAAGTTTAGGGCATAATTGCATGTAGATACATGTTTGGACATTCCTTCGAAACTCACGTTGAATAACAATAATCACATCTTAAGACGGCACTTACCTAGGCTATACATAGATCATTCGTAAAAAGTATAACATCTCTACCAGGGATGGGCAGTATTTCAAATACTTTGTGTATTTCGCTTTTGTATTTAATTACAAATTGGGTAATGTATTTGATGTGTGTATTTAAATACTAAAACGTGGGTATTTCAATTACAATTGTAATTAAATACAATTTTGTGGGCGAAAATACATCCCTCAAATTTATTGTAACTGTCCAGAGCAGGAAGAAAACTATGTTCTGCACCAAACGCAGTGTCTCTCAAACAAGCACAAGCGTTTAGTGACTTTGTGATTACGGTGCTAGTCCAGGGCAAGAATAGTGACGAAGTCGACGTTTACTGGCATACGGGTTAAATAAGTGCCAGTGACAACTTGTGATGCTTTCCAGCCAAATTTCCATCCATATTTTGCCTGGAACGTTCCAAATGCGCGGGTCGTCCAGATTTTCGTAACTGGTGCGAGTTACAACAATAAAAAATTCTCTAGCTAGTGCTGCGCGTCTTGGTCGTCTCGGTTCTTTGATGGTCTATACAAAAATGTAATCAACAAAAAAAGCTGCTTGAAGCTCTGTACTTTTTTCAGCTATTACGTGCCAGCTGATTACATTTTTTTGTGATTATATTTCTATTACGTTACTAGAGCCTCGCACACTAACTCCCAAGTGTGCAATGCAAAATTAAAATGAGATACCCAGAAACCCGTTGCAGGTGCCCTGAAGTCGCTGACGCAAATTTTGAGGAATGTATTTGGAAAAGTATTTAGGGGAGACCAAACACATTTGATTGTATTTGTATCTTGTACTAAAATGCTTTTTTGGAAATGTAATTAGATTTGTAATTATATACAATTTTAATGAAGTATTTTGTATTTATACTTCGATACATATTTGCATGTATTTTGCCCATCCCTGATCTCTACCATAAATAGCTTCGGCTGCAGCGCGCTTCAAATCTGGCACAAACGATAATCGTCAAAAACCCGTCGTCCTTCCTCGCCCCTTCGGGAATTTATTTCTTTAAAACTAAGCATGCCAGAACATTGAAACAAACGGCATTGTCTTTCGTAAGGAACTCAACACCGGGTGTAAAAGTTCGAAAAAAAATTACGAATGTATCTCACTACTTGAATTCAAATGAAACCGTCCGCCGGTCTTTCGAAGTTCGACGAACGTCGAACTTTTACCCTGAAAGTTCGAAGTTCGTCGAATGTCTGACTTTTCAGGATTCGAAAGTTCGAAACTTTTCGAATTATCTTAATAAATAAGTTTGATATTCATTGAATTTTTTGGTCAGTCGAGTTCGGAAGTTCGATAAGCATCGACCTTTGCAGCGCAATAAGTTCGAAAGTTCGAAAAAGATCAAATTTTTTAGCACAATAAGTTCGACGGTTCCAAAAGCGTCAAACTTCTTAGCTTAACAACTTCGAAAATTCGACTTCCGTCGAATTTTACGATATAGACAATTCGAAAAATCGAAATCTTTCGAACCGCTTGATTCGATCATCGAAACTTCGATTCGAAAAAAGTTCGCGGCATCCCTAGTATCTGCAATACGCTTAAAGGGGAACTCCGGCGATATTTTGAGCAACCCCAACTAACCATATATTCGAAATCGCCGTCCGTTACTCTTTTCGGTATGCTATTTAGTATCGCAAAATTCAGAATAGTTTTTGTGAAATCGGCAAATGAAAACAAAGTTAAAACGAAGATTCGAATATACCCGCGCTTTTCATTGCCCTGACGTCACGGTTGGGCTGGATTGCGGTTCGAGCAGGCAGTCTAAATATGAACTATGCCGAGCATTTGTATCGTGCTGCTGCGTGGGAGCTGGAGCGACCTTCCAAAGCATTCATTTGACACCATGAAACTGTTTGTTATCAGATGTGAACAAAGTCTACAGCCCAAAGAGTGAACTCCTACCCAACCATGACGTCACTTTTTCAATGTTGCCCGTAGAGCTTTTCATTTTGAAAAACACGATGAGGTCCAAAATTGTAAATTCTGTAACTGCACGAAAAAAAGTTATTTTGTCCAAATATTTGGGTTACTAGTTCAGCGATGTTTGTTGGTGTGTCTAGCAAGCTTTTAGGCGAATCGGGGACTATGAAGAAAACGGCGGAGTACCCCTTTAAAGGCTTGCGACACCCACGTGAGAGTAGGCAGCATTAACGGGCCGATATTGCGCCAAATGATAATTATAGGACCGCCAAAATTTACAAACTGTAATCCTTCTTTCTATTTATTTTAGAGTTCCTCGCTCCTGGCTTTCGCCTAACTGGTGCGTCCACCGCCTCCACTTTAGGTAAGTAAAATGCATTGTTAGTAGTAGCTGCATCTCGTTGAAAATATTATCGAATCTTTTGTTTGCACACTCTTAATGTAGGAAGCTGTGGAATATTCAGTCTAACTTTGTAATTAATCGGCCATCGTTGCTGAATTGTAATTTGTGGGCAGTTCTTATATTAATATATTTATTAAACATTGCTTTCATTATTTATTACAGATCCACCTGCAGCCCCAGTTGAGCCAGGACCATCACACAGCACAGACCAAGGGCTGGAAGACCACATGTAAGGATGGCTTAAAGTGACTTTTAATTTGCTTTTTATGCGAATAGAAATCGCAAACTATCCTGCTTATCCTAACATCTACTGCAGGTGTTCCTGATCAGGCTCTGACTGACTCTTATGCACAGGAAGACCTCCGCGCTTTCTGAGTCAGAACCGTGCGCTTTGGTTTGGACGGGCAAAACTGCGGGCGAGCGCGCACGCGCGCACGCAGGCACGAGCGCACAAGCAAGGTGCAACTGCGACAGACTGGCCGGCCAGACGGCGAGAGAAAGACAGAGAGAGAGAGATCGCGTTGTCATGTTGGAAGAGAATAAAAGGGGGGGAGGAGAGGGCAGCCCAGTGGGGCAGCCAGACGGCGAGAAACGCGGAGCCGGAACTAGCTTGCCCTCCACCGATTGGCCGGGACACAGGAGCGCCCTATACGTCACCGCGCGTTTTTGTGCGCGTTGAGAAGTTGAAATCAACCAACTTTTTTATGCGCGCCCGGAAGGAGCGAAGAAGCGGCGCGACGTCACGAAAACACGTCACATCCGCAGCCGCACGACCTACAGGCGCAAAAAGAAGCGTTGGTTTGGATCGCGCTTTACGATCCACCGACTTACGCTTTACGGTCCAGCGGCCAGCGCATCTCGAGGCGAGAGGGGCGGGTTCGGAGAGAGAGAAAGCGTGCCCAGACACGTTGAAAGAGTGAAAGAGGAAGTTACAATAACAAGCTTCAAAGCCATTCACACAAGCTTCAAAACAACTTCACTTTTATTTCGCATCATTAGATATATGAATCAATTTTATTTAAAATAAATAACAAGTGCCAACAGCCGCTGGCAGCGCGGCAATCGGAAGCAGTTCGCCGGACCGGATAAACGTCATAAGTATACGCGGCGGGACGGAAGTAGCCGGGAGCTTCACCCCACTGGTTCCGGCTGCTCCGCCGCTGGGTATTCGCGACTCCAGCAAAACGGACGCCACCAAGCGGGAAAACCGGGAACCAGCCGGTCCAGGTCGCTCCGCGCCCCTCCGCGTCTCTGGTGGCTTTCGCGGAGACCTGTTGTCGGCGCGGTGGCGAACCGTGTAATTTCACGAAGGTCCGAAAATTTCTTAAGTTTGCCTGAGTGTTCATCAGTGTGGCGAAGCCTCGGTAGATTGTTTCCTTCCATCACGTGTTTTCGATTTCTTGGATGGGGAGGATTCGCGGAAAAACGTTTTGATTTTTTGTCTGTCTCGAATCGCATTCAAAGTGACGACTACTTGGTAACTGATAAGGGGTTTCTTTATAAGGATGTAGAACAGTGGGAGGACGACCGACGAGGCATTTCACTGGAGGGAACACCAATGCTGCAGTCAAGTGAATGGGAAGGTTCGATAGCTGCTTTTCCTGAGTTTGGTTGTGTTCGATTAGCTTCAAGTTTGAGCCACCCACGCCGGTCGGTGCGTTGGCTATTCATCTTGGCTGCTTTTCACCGAAAAATCCTCTGGACCACTCTGAAGGAGTTGGGCTGATTTCGCAATTACTTGATTCAGGAAAACCTGCTCGCTGCAAATGATGAATGAGGGAAATTATCTGTTTTCAAAAGGTGGGGCACGCGTCTCGCAACGTTAGAAGCTGTCACGGCATTATGATCTATCACGCCTCCAATATTTATATTATACCCCCGTCAAATTAAGCCAACAGCAATATACGTCTACATTGCTCAGGCTGACCGGCCACAAAAATACTCATTTTTTCCGTTCAGGATTCGAAGTCAAGTTCAACGCAGAGAGGTTCAGCGTGAATCTCCAATGAAGACTCTCTTCCGTTTGTCCGCATTCGTCTCCGTGTTACCGGCTAGAACTATTTGGCTAAGTTTAACTTAGTATATCTCTGTCTGTCAAATATGCTTTTATTCAGCAGTTCACCTAATAGCTAATTAACTAAGCTGATACTTCAAACTGAAGAATATGCTAATATCGCTTTGGTGGGACATAGTACGTAATATAATACATAACCCGCTCGCCAAATGACTTCTCGAATGCTAATAAAACCTGAATTGAAATACGAGTATCAGCTGCTTAGTGGGGCGCCAGCGGGTTAACATGCTCCTTGGCTCAAGAAGCGCTTGCTTAATTTGCGTAATTTTCCTGCAGCCTCTGTTGTTGACCGAGCAGACGACCAGAGCTGTTTCTTAAACGCAGATACGCACAAAAGCTCGATTTCGCCGGCAGATAAGTCGCATGGTCGAGGCATGCGAGTTGGCTGAAAATTACTGCCGGTGGGAGAATTCTGCATTCATTGCCGCTTTCATTAGATGATCAAAACTGATTAGTATATTACCGTCTCTCCAGAGCCCGTAGTTTCGGTTTCGAACGAAATCTCCGAAACGAAAGTTTGACACGAAAAGAACAAAAAACACACCCTGAAAACAAAGCAATGCTCTGCAAGTTTATGTGCACCGGCTACACTTAACCGTCTCAGTTCAAATACCTATAAAATTGGGCATTAAACAAAAGAAAATCTGTTAAATTGAACGCACCACCTGTTCAGGCGGCCCAGCCAAGCCGATGCGACCTGGACTCAGCCGCCATGTTTGTTTAGTGGTGGCGCCCCCTATAGGTCGCTGGAGTCGCGAATAGGAGTGGGCTGCTGACCTCGTACCGCTGTGCCAGCTGGCGCGTCCGTCGCACCCACCGGGTTGGGACGGACTGAAGATGCACATACTTGAAAACTTGTCTGGCCCAGCGCTCTTCGCTCATCCGGCTGAGGCGTCGCTCGAAGTCCAGCTTCGCTCGGGCCTCCCTGGCCTCAAAACCGGACCAGCCCATGTCTCCTTGGACAGCCTCGTTCGGTGCTGTTCGGCTTGCTCCTAGTGCCGACCTTCCCACCTCCCTCTGACGGACCTCGAGGTATTGCCTGGTACCTGATGACAGGCACAACACTGAGTTGCCGAAAGTGAGCCCCGGCACCGCCACCATCTTCCAGACCGCTCGGGTTACCTCGTATCGGTTATATCTAGGGTTCTGCGTTTTCGGTTTCTATTTTTTCAAAATTCGGCGTACTTTCTTCGGTGTTTATCTTAAAATTCAATTTTCGGTGTTTTCCAGCGTATATTTATGCCCACAAAAGTTTATCGGCTTTTTTCGGTGAATATAAAATAAACACCAACGGAGACCGGATCGGATGATCCTTGTAGCTCTGATACTTGTGATCACTCAAAGAATAACGGCATAGGTACATTGAAAAAGAAATGAGCACTTTATTTGGTAAATGTGTGCAGCTCTAGAAGAAACAAGGAAAAACCTGAGAAGCACGAAGAAGTCAGATATGAAGCCTATGCCCGAAAAACATAGAACTTCACCTTCTGTACTTCGGGATTGCGGTATCTTATAATGGTACACCCAGATGTACATTCCCAGGTTCTCCTCGTTGATCCGCACTCTTTCTTTCCTGTTGCTATATGGCCCTGAGCTTCGAGAATGCCCTCTCAACACTAATACTGGACACTGGCAGGCTGAGGAGAGGAAGCGCTGCCTGAGCCAAAATCGGCCAATCAACCAATTGTGACCACCCAAAAGAGACACGGTGCGACTTTGTGAAGCTCAACACAGCATGCAGAGCTTGCATAAAATCAGTCTTCCTTAAAACGAGTTTGAAAACATGCTCGTACATGGCAAAGCTATGAAGCATTTCAGACTTCAAGTTCCGATCGATGGTGCGCACATTAAACAAAAACGTCGTGATGGCATCCGTGTATCCCATACATTCGGACACGTTTCGATAGACACTCGTTCTACGTTTTCGCCACGGCTCTGCGGTACGACTGGAAGGTCAAAGTGACCTTTTCCGGTTAAAACTGAATTTTAGAAAATTGATTCGACATACTTTTATCGGTTTTAATAAAAAATTCCGAACCTAAAAACTGACCTTTTTCGGTTAAAACCGAATTTCCGAAAATGGATTCGGCGTACTTTTATCGGTTTTTATCGGTTTAAACCGAAAACTCCGAACCCTAGTTATATCCCCAGAGGGCCCTGGCCGTTGCTATGCCCTTGTTCCTCCTGCCCTTCGCCTTGACCTTCATCTCGTGCTCTAGGAGGTAGTGGTGTCCCTTTTGTAGGTTTACACCCAGATATTTGTAGTGGTCCACCCAAGGTACAGGGTCACCCTGAATGGACAGGTTGGCGGTCCCGTTTTCCTCTGCTGCTCCAAAAGCCATCAGCCCAGATTTGTACGAACTGAAGCTAAGTCCCAGGGCCTCTCCCATTGCACCACACTCGTTCATGAGCCCCTGCAGGCCCTGCAGTGAGTCCGCCATCAGCACCATATCGTCGGCGTAGATGAGTCTTGGGAGTTTTCCTCCCTTCCTTTCCCTACCTTCCGAATATTCCAGTGAGAAACCCTCCCCACTCTTCTGCAGCCGCCTTTCGATTCCTGCTATGTACAGCATAAACAGCAGCGGCGACAGCGGGCAGCCCTGTCTCAAGCCTTTGGAGCAGGTCACTGGATGTGTTGTCTCCTGCTGCCACTGTGCCACCACTGCCATCCCTCTGTACACTTCTCGCAAGAGGTCTATCCACTCACTGCAGAGTCCCCGCTCTGCCAGCTGCGTCCACAGTTTTCGATGTTCGACCGTGTCAAACGCCTTGCTGACATCGAGAAAACAGAGGTGCAGGGGGCGGTTCTCCTTCTGGGCGATCTCGGTGGCCTGAGTCAGCACAAAAAGATTGTCCTCCAGGCGTCTTTCCCATCGAAAGCCATACTGCAGCTCTCCCAGGATCGCCTCTTTCTCGGCCCATGCCTGCAGTCTGTTCCGCACCACCTGCATGAACAGTCGGTACAGCACCGGTGTGATTGCGATAGGACGGTAGCTGCCAAACGAGGACTTGGGTCCCTGGCCCTTGTATATGAGTCGGAGCCTTGATTTTCGCCATTCGGCTGAAATTTGTCCCCTTCTCATGATCTGGCTCAGGGTTTGCTGTAGGAGTTCTGTTGTCTCTGGCCCCAGCTCTTTCACCGGCCTCATCGGTAGATTGTCTAGTCTTGTGGCTGTCGACGCTCCCATCCTCCCCATCGCTTTCTTCAGTTCTCCCCTCGTGATGTTGTCCATGCTCGGCTGTACCTCTCGCTCCACCAGTCCCTCCGGCCCTCCATTTTCGTCCACTGCGTCCGTGCTGCTTCCCGCAAACATCAATCTGACCCTCTCTTCGATGTATCAAATGGTCTCCCTCGGCCCCAGCTGTCTTCCTGTGGTGTCGTCTTTGAGCATTGGATCCTCCCTGGGTTTACCCGTCTGGTCCCGAACATGTCGCCAGAACTTGCGAGGTGCTTCCCTTCCCGCCTCCTTCAGGTCCTCCAGCAACCTCTTATCTGCCTTGGCCATCTTGGTCTGGATCAGGGTCGTCACTTCTACTTTCCTATCCTGGTACTGCCTCCATTCCATAGAATCCTTCCTGAGAGGGATTCCCTCCTCTACTCTCCTCCTGATCTCTCCTCGGAGAGCTCTGCACGCCAGTTGTCTTTTCGTTATTGCCTTCCTCACCTCAACGTCCCACCATCGCTTTCTTTTCCTCCCCTTGTGACGTGTGGGTCTCTTCGCTTTTTCCAGGTGGTGAATCCACCATTGCATGAGTTCCTCGTATGTTTCCAGCTGCTTGTTTTCAGCTTCTGCTTCTAGTTTCTCCGCAATCATTTGGGCTTCCCTTTGTGTAACATTGCACTGTCCCATTGATTTGCTCTCTTTGGTGTCTGCAGAGTTTCCTCCAAATGCAATGAGTAACCTGTTGTGGTCACTTCCGATGCTCCTGTCGCCGTCCTCATCTATCTCCATGTACCTTAATTTCTCGTACATGTCTGGGGACATTAGGCAGTAGTCGATAGTGGAACTCATCTCCCTGGCTGTCCATGTTGTCGTCCCTGTGCATTTGTTCTGAGCATTGACCATTACCATGTCCAGATGTTCTATCATGTCCAGCAGCAGTTTACCATTGTAGTCTTTTCTTCCATCGAACTCCTCCAGGTGTGCATTAAAATCGCCCATTATGATGGTGGGCCTTCCCAGTTTGTGGTAGTCTCTCTCAATGCACCTGACCAGTTCACTGTTCTTTTCCCTACTGCATGTCCCGGTCCACAAATAGACCACTAAAACTGCCACCTCTTGCCCTGCTATTCTCCCCGTCATCCACAAGTGTTCTTGACACTCTGGGCTCTGTCTCTGCTATCCTGGCCCATTGAAAAACGCCACCCCACCCCTCTCCTCCCTTTACCCTCTCTGTTACATCCTTCCCAGACCCACCCTTCACACTCTGGGGGCCTTTCTTCATCCCTAAGATGCGTCTCTGCCACTCCGAAGACACCAATGCCGTCCGGCCGCTTGAAGCATTTGGAAAGCCTCTTCCCATTTTCCCGCTCTTCTTGCTCCCTGCATGTTTAGAAAAGCCATCCTTACTTCTCTCCGCCTTTTCTTCGCTCTCCTATTTCGCCCTTTGGCTTTCCGACCTGTTGCCCCCCCGTGTTTCCTTCTTTCACTATTTGTTGGGGGTCCCCTTCTCCCTCTCTCGTCCTCCATTGTTCGCTCCCCCTCACATCCGGCTACTGCCTGCGGCCGGTACTTCGCACGGGTTGCTCGTTTCGCCGACTCTTTACCAGTTGTTCTAATACATCCCATAGGACGTCTACGCTGGGTAGTTTCCTTCTCTCGCTGGCATTTTGGGATGTCTTTTGGCGGGTCTGCTGCCCTAAAAAAGAGGCTATCATACCCGCAATCTTCTTTGTCACTCGCTGTTCTCCCTCATTTGAGTACAGCGTGCCCTCCTTTGTGAAGCACCTGGGATTTAGTACCGGCTCCATGTCCAGGAAACGTGCCTTGATCCTTACGCACATTACCCGTATCCGTGCACCAGCTTGCATCTCCTTACCCCGGCTAGACACCTCTGGTATCGAGCAAATGACCAGCTCAGCCCCCCGTCCTTTCCATGTTTCTTCCAACTTAGCCGTCAGGTCTTCAACTGTGCCCTGCAATACCTCGTTGAGGCCCAAGTGGAGCACATATTTCCTAGGGAGTTTTCGGGCCTGTCCCTCATACTCCCGGATAGCCTCGTGAGCCTGGTCCACGGTCGCTGCCCTTTGGTAGAGAAATTCAACACTGTCCTTCACCCCCACTTCCTGGACCAGCGCCGACGCAAATCTTCCCACATTTCCATCTCCTGCCACAATGACTTCTCTCTTGACCCCCTTTGGTGGTCTCATTGGTGTCGACCCTGCCCTCTTCTGCTCTGTGGGCTGGGTAGGGACTCGAGTCCGTCTTGGTTCTGTGAGGTGGACAGGGACTCCGGCTGATCTCTGCTCTCCGTTGTTACTCGACTTTGCCGAGTGCTCCTGGCTATCTTTTGCCTTCCTTTCCCTGTCCCTCTTATTCCAGCTGCCGACAAGCTCGACCCCGTCTCTCCCCTTGCACCCTGGTGATGTCGCCTTGTCCTCCTGGCGCCCTGGTGATATCATGTTGTCCTGGGCTTGTTCTTGGCCGGCTGTCGTTGGCACTATGCTTTCTCCCTTCACCTCCGGCACCGTGTCCTCTTCCTCAATTTCTGTCGGTTCTTTAACTTGCATCTCCATCCTCCTCTCCAATCTCGTGTACCTCGCTGCCTCGATCTGCCTCTCGTTCTCTAGACTCTCTATCCGCTGCGCGAGGAGGCTAATCACAGTCCTGTCTGCCTCCGATTGCCTCACTAACTCAGCTAGCTGAGCATGCACCCCCTCAAATCGCTCCTGTTGTCCTTGCCCCAGGGTTGTTCGTCTGTCTGTGTCCATGCTTGTCACTTCCTCAGTGTCTGTCGTTCCTTCATTTTCTACCCTGATTGCCTTCTCCCCGTTCTGGACTGTCGCTTCGCTGTCCTCGTCTACCCTTTTTGGGGTTCCGTTTCCGACCTGGGGGTTTCGTTGATCTGTCAGGGGTGCCATCCATCCCTTTTGCTTGACCCGGTCTGTCTCCTGTATCCTCCCCTCCCCTTCTTGCGTCATGTGCGGGCTCGGAGGCCTCCTTTCCTTCCTCGTCTCACCTTGCATTGCCTCTAGTGTGTTGATGAGCTCCGCAACTTGTTTTTCCAGCTTCTCTCTTTTAGCTTGTTCTGCTGTCCTCAATGTTTTCTCCTCTTCAAAAAGCGTCTTGAGACACTCCTCTCGTTCTCTCCATTCTTCTTTTGCGTTCATCAGTGCATTCTCTAAAATCTCCTGTAGTACCTCGACCAGCGGTGGTGGAAAGGCCGCCCGTGTTTATGAGAATCAGCTTGAACACTAAACATTTACACGGAGACAGGACAGGACATACACAGAGCTGTCTAACAACGAGTGGTTAGCCAGTGTTTGTTTTTAAAAATCCACGTGCTCCGAACTATGCCTAGCTCTCTAATTGGTTGTTCGTTTTGCCGAAGACACCGTTGCCATAGCAACAGCACCGGAAGTCATCGTTTCTCCGTAAGAGGTCGTAACTTTGCTCCTCTCACTTAAGAACGCGTTTGTGAATACCGTTCTTGCCTCATCTTACGAATGATCGTAACTTTACGAACTTCGTAGCTAAGTTGTCGTAGGTAAGAGGTGTAAACTAGGAAGCTCACAAAGAGCTTCTTAGTTTACGACAACTTAGCTAACAAGTTCGTAAGTTAAGAATATAGTAAGAAGAGGAGAAATCGGTATTCTCGAACGCGTTCTTAAGTTAGAGGAGGGAAGCGACGTTCTCGTACGGAAAAACTAGAACTTACCGGTGCTGTTGCTATGGTGACGGCGTCTTCGGCAGTACGAACAACCAATTGGAGAGCTCGGCATGTCGGAGCCGTTCGGAGCACGTGGATTTTATTAACAAACACAGGCGGCCTTTCTGCCACCGCTTGTCTGGGGTTCATGTCCGTGCAGTGATATATACACGATTTAAACACGCCCGAATGCCGAGGCCGGGATGCATAACCGCCTCCTGCTACGAACTCAATTGCTACGAAGTCAACGCAACTGTCGTCGTTGGTAAAAAGTCGTTTGCAATGCGACGTAGATGGAAACAAATTGCCGTGGCATTTTTCGCAGCCTCGGAGAAGCGGGAGCGAGCTGACGTTAAAACAGGTACGTTTGAATTACGAGAGTGTCAGCAAGAGCCACGTAATACCTGTTCACACTCTGAGCGGAAGCGTGCGTTTGATCGAAGTGCTGGATTCGCGACGTGTCAGAATACAAATGGCATACTAATAACAAAGTGTACATACCGTGTTGCGAAGATAATCCATACGTCATTTATTTGAGCTCTATATCACACAAAACGAGGAGATAGAATAGATGAGAGTCCCTTTTCGACGACAGCGTTCCTCACCGCTGCATCGGCAAGCAGATGACAAAAGGAAGAGATTGACCTCTTTATCTAAAATTGAGGTCAGCGATCAAAGGAAGGGTTCACAAGGGTCGCGGGGGCATATTCTATTCAGCACGCCAGCCGGTCGTGGGCAGACGGTCTTGGCCAAGGACCGCCGGAGCACCGCTGCGCCGAGTCGGAGTGCCTGCAAGGCCTATCTGCCGAACTCGCTTGGTCAATCGTGGCCGTTGGAGCTTTTCCCGGGTGTTTGTGGATCCAGCGTTCTTGTTCGTCGTGGTCTGTTTCAAGTACTTTTGACTTTTTTCTTGGACGCGTGAGAAGCGCACATAGAAAAATAAACGTCTGTTGGTTGTCGCGACGAAGTAACCGAGCGGCGCTGTCGGCCATGCTGATTTGATCGTAAGAAGTGCGCCAGACAGCTTCGGAGCTGTCGTAGGATTTCGTTGTAACCTGCGCAAAACTTACGAAAATTTCGTTTCGGAAATACGAATTTGTTCTTAAGTTTTGTTTTACGCACATTTTTGGCGTAAGAACCATTTGAACTGGACCACTTTGACCACTTAGGATAAAGTGAGACCACTTGCAATAGCACTGTAAATTTTCATTTGGGTTAAAATATCCAACGAAAGACAACTGAAGGTACAATTGTACAGTTTGAGTTGGGATAATCAAGTGGACATTTTCGTCCCAATTGAATTCAACTAGTTACAATCGGTGCCAACTGAACTTGTAATTGGTACCAATTGGCACAACCAATTGTTTACTTAATGCCAATTGGATCCAACAAGCTACAATATGCATCAATTGAACTTCAAATTGGAACCAACTGGCACAACCAGTTGTTTACCTACTGCGCATGCCAATAGGATCCAACTATAGCCCGTTGCAACCTAAGAATGAAGTGCGAGGGTAAGACGGGCCGGGCAGAAGGAAGCAGACGGAACGCTGGAGAAGAGAGAGGGAAGCCTCCTTCTCTTTTTAGCGTTCCGTCTGCTCCCTCCTCTTCGTCCCGTCTTACCCTCGCCGTTCGTTCTTAGGTTGCAACGCACTGTAGTTGCAATCGGCATCAATAGAACTTTCAATTGTAATCAACTGGCACAACCAATTGCTTACTTATTGCTAATTGGATCCAACTAGTTACAATTGGCATCAATTGAACTTCCGATTGGGACCAGTTGGAAACAACTGGTTCTTAATGGTTATTTTTAACTGAAGCGCAAGCAAGTGGCTAAGCTCGGAAGCGTGTACGTCACCGAACTTATTGTTTATTTGTATTTTCCAAGTTTTTGACAATAAATAGTTGTCAACCTTCCATTTTGTGCCGTGCTTTGTCGTTGGTGGAGTTAGTACTAGCGGTAGCTGGGACAGATTCCAGCTGGGACCAACTCCAACTGGGGCCAGTTGCAACCGAGACCCGCTTGAACTGGGACCAGTTGCAACTGGGACCAGGTTCTATAAACCAGTTGCAGTTGGTCCCAGCTAGAAATTTTCGCCTGGGATAGTGCGGGGCCATGGGACTTGTACTACACAGACATTCTATCGCCCGCCACCGGACGGCGTCGTGATCAGGGTGTCGAACCGAAATGTTTTTTATTCCGGTTTTCGTTCGGGTTCAGAGAAAACGGTTAAGCTCCGGTTCAACTCCGGAGTGAAAAAATAAAGGTTCAAACCGGTTCATACTCATATGCTACAAAAACAATTGACGGCAGCAAAAGATAAACTATGCATATTTTATAAAAGTGTTACATATAAAAAGCAAAGGCTCACATTACAGTGCGGAACGAACAAGTTAGTGCTGGGGCACCTCGGGACGTGGATGAAAGCGCAGTTCAATGTCAGGCAGCTGACCGAAGCAGGATGTCGTCAAGCATATCCGGGGAAAGACGACACCTCTGAGACGATAAAATGAACTTCAGTGCATAAAGGGCTCGCTCCACGCTCACCTGGGTCGCAGGCACTCCCAGGGCTACTTGCGCCAATGTTCTGGATGGCGTTACCTTCTCTCCGCCCAAAACTGCAACACGTTAGCGTCCTTTGACACCCTCGTCAACCTACAATAACCCAGGCCCATGAAACGTGCCCACCGTGAGTGAGGCAAATGTCACGTCTGGCAAACAACACAACCAACCAACCAACCAAAGCCGCGGCCCCTTGTCTAGCATTTCCAGGAGGCACGCTATATCATGTCGGTTACTGGTACCTCGAACGTGCCCGCCAGCCTCAACTTCTCTTTCATTGAGGAGTGCTTCCTGAGCGTCTTCCGAATCATCTGGAGCCGCCGTAAGTTCAAAAGGAAGGGTAGAGACTTGCTCGGAATGCAGAGCTGTGATCCGCCTCAGTCTTTGTAAAATGCAATCTGTCTCGGTACTTTTGCTCAGGGGTGAGAAGAAGGCGGTAGCGGGGATCCATGTACACTGCTGCACAGAAGACAACCGTGTTACGAAGTTGTCGCTCCCTTTTTTTCATTGACTAGACCAATACCTTTGCTAACGGCGACATTATATTGGAAGTGTTCATGGAACATCTCAGCCATGCTCCGTAGAAATCTTCTACAGTAAGCTGTTCCTTCTGCAATGTCTTCGTCGCCACTTCTGACGGGCGAAGCGATACTACGAGCATTTTGACTTCCGCCCATATACGCCTTCAGTCAACCTGGAGCTTTCTTATTTTAAGAGGAACCCTCCAGCGAAGCCTCTTAGTTCAAGTAGCCTGGTGAGCATATGCTGCGTGGACATCCACTGCGCTGGACAATCAAGCACTAGTTTCTTCAACCCTAGTTTCAACCCGAACCAGCCGAACCGCCGAGCTGAGGGCCTCGCGGGAAAGCAAGTAAGAAAAAACACTGGCACAGAGTTTGACGCTAACGTGGACTGCAGCGAACGTTAGCAGCTCGCCTAGCATATCCAGTGGTAAGAGCCTATATTCCCGGTTGAGCAGCGACGCGTGGAACGTGAAGTTTCTTTGTACTATTATAGCGCTGAATTTTGAGGATGACTCGTAGGATTGGCCGCGGTCCATCATAGGTTGGAGCTGAGCATAAAGGCCCGTTCACACCCTTGCGATCTCTTAAACCTGAGTTCCTTAAAACTTCTTAAACCAAAGAAAACACTGGCGCCATCTATTGGGAAGCAGTGTAAATTCGGCGGTCCGGCATATTTTTCTTTATTTCTCGCGCATTATCCTTTCTTTCTTGGCTCGAAAAACTTTTGTCAATGTTATAAACGAGCCTTTCTATGGGTATTACGCACATTTGACCTCAGAAATCCCGCAAAACTTTCGCTCTTGTGAAATGCAGTTCCAGAGTCATCGCATAGATGGCGCCACAATGCCAGTGTGTTCCCTCATTCTAAAAACATTTAAGAAGTTTTAAGAGATCTCGCCTCTCTCAGTCGTACTCGGTCGCAGGAGTGTGAACGGGCCTTAAGCAACAAGAGTCTGAATGCGCCTGAAGGCCCGTTCACACTCTTGCGACCGAGTACGACTGAGAGAGACGAGATCTCTTACAACTTCTTAAATGTTTCTAGAATGAGGGAACACACTGACATTGTGGCGCCATCTATGCGGTGACCCTAGAACTGCATTTCACAAAAGCGAAGGTTTTGCGGGATTTCCGAGGTCAAATATGCGTAATACCCATAGAAAGGCTCGTTTATAACATTGACAAAAGTTTTTCGAGCCATAAAAGAAAGGATATTGCGCGAGAAATAAAAAAAAATATGCCGGACCGCCGAGTTTACACTGCTTCCCATTAGATGGCGCCAGTGTGTTCTCTGGTTTAAGAAGTTTTAAGGAACCCAGGTTTAAGAGGTCGCAAGCAGTCGCAAGAGTGTGAACGGGCCTTGAGAGTCTGGACAGAGCACCGGCAACTCCCGAGACGCGCCGGCCGCCCGCCGTTAATTAAAAAAAAAAAAAAAATAAGAACACGAGAACGCATTTTGAGGGTGGAAAGGAAGGGGTCCATATCACATGAGCGAATGACATTTTAGCGAACGGCGACATTTGAGCGAATCGACGTTTTAGCGAAAAACGGGGGCGCGCATTAACCCATCTGCCGCGCTGCGCTTACGCCGCTTTGCGGCAACAGTCTGCGGCGGCTCATTACAAAATGGTGAACCCATTTGGCCCACCCAAAAACGCCGCATTGCGGCATCCGACTATTCGCTAAAGTGTCCTTCGGTGAAACGTGGGCATTCGCTAAAACGTCATTCGATCAAGTGAGTGCCTCCCAGTAAGGACAGAAACACCAATAAAATCTCAAACTAAACGCGAAAAAACCCCCCAAAAAACAAGGACAAAGAAGTATAGATAACGCTAGGCGTGTTGTCTATATCTCTCTTTGTCTTTTTTTTCTATTTTTTTACGTTCAGTTTGAGATGAGAAATCAACTAGCCAACTCACCGTTTTACCACCAAACAGGCTCATTAATTGGTCACTTTTGCTAACGTACGATTTGGGTATGTTCTAGTGATAAATTTTCTTTGATAAACCATTTCCGGTCCCCAAGAAAAGGTTGGGAGGAATGAGGGCATTTGTTAAAGAAATACGCTAAGACCGGAAATCCCAGAGAATTTATAGTTGCTCTGCTTATTTCATTTGAGTTCTCGAGACAAACTTAATAAATTATGAGCACGACCGTTATGTAAAAACCTGATAATGGAAAGCTACAGAGCTTTTCGCTATCTATTTTTCTTGCTTTTCGAATTCCCACATGATCGAAACACCAGAAAAATAATTTATCAGTTTTGCCCAGGAACGAAAAAAGAATTATTTCGATCCAGTTCAACTCCAGTTTGCGCGAAAATAATTTTTGTTGTTGCATTATCTGGTTTATTGTTTAGGTTGCTGTGCTTTTTGCCACACACTTTTCACGAGACCCGACTTCGCGTATGAACCGAAAACCGCATGGAAAATATAGCAGTTCCGCTCCGAAGCGAAAAAAATTATTTCGTTCCGGTTCAACTCCGGTTCGCGCGGAAATAACGGTTTTCACCGGTTTTCGGTTCACGGTTTAGGTTCGGTTCAATACCCTGGTCGCGATACGTTCAAAGCTCCAGCCAACGTTACTAGATTAGCTCAGTTACGGAACTGCTCATAGACGCTGCATGCACGAACAGTACCCCCCCTCACTCGCCACGACTCGCCAAGCGTCGCTCGACGCGCCGCCGGACGGCTGCTTTGGTAACTGCAGCGTATTCTATGCATTCTATGGGAATCGGGCACGGTGAAATTGAGTCGGGATCGCTACGTACGTTTCGAAGCACGGCGTCTAGATGGCGCTTCATCTCTGCTCTTTGGAACGCACAGTTATGAAACGAAAATCTAGATGGCGCTTCGAACGACACTTGGCGGATTGAAGTGAGTGAGGGGGTACCCCCTTCCGCTTGAGTTCCACAACTGAAGTAATCTAGCAACGTTGGCTCCAGCGCAGGAGGCCTATGATCATCGGTTTCCGACAATGCGGCTCCAGACCATTGATTTATTACAATAAACGCTAGAGGCTCAGCTGGCACTACTGTCTACAACACTTCTGCGTTGCAAATTGAAGCAGACAACAACCAGTCTACTTGTCCATATTTTTCTTTTCGCGAGAAAATAATAGAAATTAGCGTAGTTTGATTACTCGTAACAGGTACTATGTAGCTTCATTCACATTACAAAAGTCTAATTTATTTAGTTAATAATTTTGTTTATAACTGAGCGATGTTTAAGTTAGCAAAAATTGAGGCCCAGGTCTATGGGGTACTTCATGATATGTTAAAACAATTTATTGTTATTTTTTTTATAGCAACATTCATATTTACTTCAGAACAACAACACAAGAGCAAACAACTCTATGCAGTCTAGAGGTTTTTGCGCGACACAAGGAACAATCACAAGCGAGTAGACACGGACAAGCGCTTGTCCGTGTCTACTCGCTTGTGATTGTCCCTTGTGTCGCGTAAAAACCTCTAGACTGCATCATGAACCAACTAGGCCAACAACAAGTTTTAAATAAACAACTCTGTTTCGTTCTTGTCATCTGGTTTGATTTGCCATATATTAGCATCCTTTTGATGTTTTGTCAAGCTGATTCACTCTGTGTGCTTCATAGCATTGACCATGTGCGTAAATACGTGCCCTATATTATCAGTCTGCAACGTCAAACACGTACGACACATACGTATTGGGCTAATTTAGCGCAGTGTTCGACCTCATAAATTCTAAAGAAAAAAGTTAAAAAACAAATGATCCATTTTACTATTTGAAGGTGAACAACCGGCGAAGCTGTTTAGCACACGACACAGTCCACCTTAGGAAGAGACAAAGGGCCGACTGAGAAAAGTCAACACCTTTATTGACATGGTTGTCCAACTATATTAGTTACATAGTGACTTAGGTTGATCAGGAGGACTGGGGCAATCCCTTCTTCGGCGACAACTGTCTCCTCCAACAGTGGCTGCGGGAGAGAGCTGCCACCAGGGGGACCTCGCTCAGTTTGTGGGCAGTTGTTAGAGAGCCTGCTGGAAGCCAGAAGGCAAACATCATTCTTTGGCAATACACTGCTAGGCTTTCTTTCCAGACGAATAATTACTCAATGCCAACCTTACTGCGGTTCTGAGTCCCTGGCAATGCCAAAGACAGAAGCTGCACGGACCAAATGCTCCAAGGAGTTCCGAAGCCCTGCTGCCACGAAACCCGTGGTTGAGCAGCAAAACGCACAGGGAAAAGTTCAGCTCCTGAGAGTGCCACACAACCCTCCTTAGAAAGAAGATAAACTGATAAAATATAAAACGAGCGCACAGAGCATCATAATCGTGACACGCCAAGGAGGATATGATGATCGGAACACAAATGATTCCTGCCATGGCTCCCTCTGCCATTCGTCTGTCTGACAGAACGGGAGTAACGGCAGAAGGGGGACCCTAAAGAGGCAGGAGGCAACCTTCTCCCAAGTCAAAGTTCCTTGCCCTCAACAAAGACTCCTCTTCCAGTGGGCAAAGGCTCCAGCAATATGCAAGAACCAGCATGTACAGACATAAAAAAATGAACTAGTGTTGTAACTAAAATGTGATCCATGCTTTCAGGCAGTATGCAATCACGAGCCCCGCGCGACATAATGAGGTAAACCGAGCAAACACGACACTTGTTCCACGTGCTCCGGGATATAGAAACAGAGAATGCCAACCAGATAGAAAAGCAAGCTGCCAGAGCCACACACCGTAAGTTTAAGTTATCACCCCACTACAAACTTGAGTGGCCAAAGTCTTACACAAGACACGCTCCAGGAAAGGTTAGAAGAGAAAGGAAAGGAAGCGCCTGCAGCTGCCACAGCCAAGAACTAGCAAAGCCATTCGAGGCACATACAGCGGAAAAACCAAAGGCACCCAACACTCTGGCAGTAACCAAGAAGTCCTCCACTAACAAAGCTGCACCAGGCATTCGAGGAGATGAAGGATGGTGGGAGAAGCACCCTCCGTGGCAAGGTGTGCCAGAAAGTCAGTTCCAGCAGAAGTTGCACCCGGCACTTCGTTGTCTGGGAGTGGAGAATAGGAGAAGGGTTGTTGGGGGGGAATAATGTCTGGGGGCTCGGAGGCTAGGGAGGCACGTAGGGGGGCGGCTGCCGGTAGGTAGGGGCCGCCTTGGGCCTCGTCTGGCGGTCGGGGCGTCCCGAGACGAAGGGCGGCGTCGGGTGCTGGTAGGGGGCTGCGTCGTCTCTGGGCAGGCGCCGCCCGGTCTGTGGGGTGGATCCCCGGCTGCTGCTGCCCCCGCGGGGGTACTCGGGGGGAGGCAGCGGCGGCCGCTCCTCCTTCATGATGACCGGCGGCTTGGCCGGGTCCGGCTTGTCCTCCAGCTCGTCCGCAAAGATGATGGGGATGCCCTTGTTGATGAAGGTGCTGCTGTCCTGCATGCTCAGCTTGCCCTTGCGCTTCTTGCGGTACAGCATGCAGGCCACAAGGGCCGCCAGCAGCAGCATCACTGCAATCACCACTGCGGGGATGATGGTGGTGATGTAGATGTCGTCGTCTGCCGGCGGAACGTCCGATGCGTCCCCAACTTCCGGAGGTGCAGCGGCGGGCGGGGGTGCCACCGTGTGCAAGACCGAGGTCGACGGCAGCCCCTTGTCCATGCAGAGTCCTAGCGGCATTGTATCCGCCTTCAGGATACGGAACTCCGGCTTCATCTCGTCCACCAGCCGCTGCGTCAGGGTGCGGTTGTCGTGCACCAGGCGGCTCATGAGCTGCCGGATGGTCTCTGTCGGGCAGGGCTCGTAGGGCAGGGTGTTGTTTGTCCAGGCGTACACCACGGAGCCCGCGCTGATCGTGTTGACCGTCACGTAGCGCGGGTCCGGGTCGCCATAGAGTCTTGCCAGCTTCCAGGCCACTAACACCTTGCGGCTGATGTTGCGGCTGAAGGCCTCGAAGTCTTCGTCCAGGTGGAGACTGAATTCCACCGCCCACTTCTTCTGGGCACGAGGCTGAACGAGGACGACGAACACGTCTTCCACGGACATGCCGAAACTGTCCTGGGCAACGAGCTGGAACTCATGCCGACGCACGTCCCCGTCGAAGGGAAGCCCGTACAGTTCTTGCGTTCGTGGATTGAACTGCACCCACGAGGACTCTGGCAGCCGCAGGCCGTCCATGGACAGGAAGGACAGGGTTAGGTACCGCGTGGTGCCGTCCTCGAAGTCGTAGAAGGTGTCGTCGGGGATGATGTAGCGGAGGATCTCGCCTACGGTCGCATTGATCTGCCCAATGGAGTTCCGCTTTGTGGGTGCCTTGTTGTGCAGTGGCGGCGGCGCCGAAGACACTGGTGGGCAGACACCCAGAAATTCGACGGACACCTTCTGTACCTTCAGGTTGCCGAGTGCTTTCTTGAAGCCCGCCAGGGGTGACCCAGAGGCGTCCGCCATTTGGTTGTACAGCGCCATCAGCTGCTCCCGGGGGCACGGGTGCTTGGGCAGCGAGTCGTTGGTCCATGTCAGGCCGACCGGTTCGGACGACACATTCTGCACCGTCACCTGGGAGGTGTCGGGGTCCCCGAAAAACCGGGCCAGGCGCTGCACGGTCTTGATCTGCCAGTCAATGCTGTTTGCATACTCCCAGTTTTTAGGCTTGAGCGTCACTCGGAACTTGTGGTGGACGGCACGAGCGCTCGAGTGCTGCCAGACGTTGATGTCCATGAGGTCGTGCACCGTCTCGCCCTCGTTGTCCATCGCCTCCAGGCGGAACTGGTACTTGCCGATGTGTTCGTCCAGGGGTAGCGCCGACAGCGTCTGCTTCTCCGCATCAAACTGGATCCACGAGCGGGGCTCGATGGCCGTGCCGGCCGACGTCAGGAACATCAGCTTAAGCTCGCGCGTGTCCCCTTGCTCCCGATCATGGAAGGCATCGGCGGGAATCTGGAAGGTCCAGACGTTGCCGGCCGTCGCCTTGAGCTTCGGGAGCCGCTTGTTCAGCGTGGGCTTGGTGTTGCCACCCGCAGGCTTCCTGGGGGTCTCTGGTGTGGGCAGCACGGGGGTGGCCGAAACCTCCGGCCCGACGCTCGTTGGCTGCACCAGTTCGGGGCCGAACGTCGGAGTAACCTCTCCAAATGCGCTGTCCACAAACGAGGTCTGCGTTGGCCGTAGCGGTGGCAGAACCGGTGTCATCCCAAGCGCGGCCGTTGGCAGCACCACGGACGACAGGGTGGGCGACGCTGCGATGTGGCGGGCGTGGTGGTCTTCTCCGTGGTGGTGCCTGTGCGGGTGGTGCACGGAGGGTCCGTCGAAGATGGGCGACGCCATCGTGGGAACAATCCTCGTCTCGGGGGTCGCCATTGGCCGCTCGCCGATGACGTTGCCCGTCTCCGTTGCGACGACGGTGGGGAGTGGCGCGGGAACCAATGGTGTGCCGCCAACGTAGTGGGAGTGTGCGCGGGCTCGGCGCACGGCGGGCTGCACGCTGCTGACGTGCCAGCCGACGACCGGGTGCCCCAGCAGGCGCGCCAGGCTTCCGTCCTCAGCGGATGCTTCGAGGCGCTTTAGGGCGGCGGCGTGGTGGGGCTCCACATCACTGCTGCAGCCCACGCGCCAGCGCAGGCGGAGCCCGGCCGTCAGCCGCGACGGGCTGTCCCCCGCGCCGGCCATCAGGGCTGAGTTGTCGTATGCTGGCTCGTCCGGCGCCATGGGCGCCATGCTCGCCTCCGCCACGGCAACCTCTAGGAAACGGGCGAGGCCGGTCAGGAGCCGGGCCCGTTCGTGGGGCCGCAGGTCGTTGGCATCGGCATCGACGGTGACTGTGGCCATCGCCACGGGGTTGCCGGCAGGGCAACTGGCGGCGGGAAGTTCAGGGTTGCTCCTGGAGGACTGGTGCTCCACCACGTCCACCGAAAAGACGTCCCTAGCTTCAGCCACCTCGTCGTCTGCGGGGAAACGGACAGTGGTTTGGAGGCCGAGCGAATGTTCTCTGGAGGCACAAACTGAAGTTTAAAGACGGGAAAACATTTCCGAAAGCATACGAGAGCCCTTTCTTAGGCAAATTGAAATATTTCGATCAAGCATGAAGTTTACAGCTTTGAGGTTTAATTTTGCAGCTGTGCCAAAAGAATTGAGCACGAGTGATTAGAGCACTGCACGGCCCCGGGCCAGCCCGAAAACCCGAGCCCGGCCCGGCCCGCGGGCCGGGCTCGGGCCGGGTAGCACGGATTTTCTCGGGCCCGGGCCGGGCTCGGGCTTGAACAATATATTTTCCGGGCCGTGGCTGAGCAGTCGTGTGCCACAAATTTTAAATTCTTGATAACAAAAAAGGTGCTCATTTATCTTCTCGGTTCAATGAAAACAAACAAGCGAAATGCAAAATTACTAAACTGCTGTTCAAAAAAAAAAAAAAAAAAAAGACGTCTTGCATTTGGAAAGCTTTCACGTGGATAAAAGGAAACGTATAGATTCCTCCACCATAGTGGGAAAGTACGGTCAAGAAACCGAGGGCACCCCAGTCGCAGGGTACAACATGAGTGTATTTTTCGTCTGCGTTTCAAACAGAACACAAGAAAAACAACGTGAGCTTGATTTTGTTTTTGTGCAGGGAGCCTTGCCATGCCGCCAAAGATAAGCTAACTAGATATTTTTATGCTTATACAGCTTTCTGAATATGCACTAGCGTGATTCTGATTATTTATTCACAAAAACATGTAGAGAGGAAAGTTCTCTGAAACGAATCGAACAACGAAAAGCCCGATATCTCTTCAAGAAATGCATAAATCAAGAATACGGCACTTTTTTTCTTTAAATCACTTATACACTGCATATTTCGCCAATATTCTCGAAAATGCACCAAGTCGGGATATTTATTGTGTCAAAAAATCTCGATCCAAGTCCAAAAGAAATTTAAATCAAATATGCTCGCTTTATGCTTAGACAGTTTTTAGGTTAAAGCCTGCAAACTTTTTTGGGCTCATGAATATAAACTGTCGGGCTCGGGCCGGATTCAGGCTTATATTTAAAACATTTTTGTCGGGCTCGGGCCGGGCTCGAACTTCTAAGTATTCTGCCGGGCCCGGGCCGGGCCCGGGCTATGTCTCTTCCGGGCCGGGTCGGGCCGGGCCTAGAAATTAAATATTCTGTCGGGCTCGGGCCAGGCCCGGGCCGTGCCACTGCCGGGCCGGGTCGGGCCGGACCTAGAAAATCCGGCCCGTGCAGGGCTCTACGAGTGATCGTCAGTAGTAGCGGGGAAATTGCCACATGAGGCACTGCATCGCCGGGAATCCTCCGAGAGCGGGAGTGGTTGAACCGCTCCAAACTTCCTATCTCGGGGGTGCTCAGCAGACAGCTATCAGTTCCGAAGATTAATTTCTACTCCATAGATACTGTCATCCATGATCATTAAACTTGGTGCCCTGAAGTCCACCAATGATGGTAAGACAGTGAAAGAAAACAACACCTGGCAGTGACCTTTATCTCCAAAATCCTAAAATGGGCGCACTATTTAAAGCATGGTCGTTCCAATTTGTTTTCAGATTAAACAGTCATTTCGGGAGTGAAGACCTTACATAATTATAAATTTCCCCACTAACTACAGACGGTGACAGGTTAGGAGTAAAGTGGAAGCTCCTCCCACCTCTTTCTACTTTGGCAGAGCCAATGCTGGAGAGGAGGCGACTTCTTCCCCAGAGTTCACTCTGCTGAAGTGGAAAGAGGTGGGAGGAGCTTCCACTTCACTCCTAACCTGTCACCGACTATAGATTGGTGTATAGTTCACATGACATTGATATCCCCACTGAATTTAGTGGGGGAAATGTGTGGACAGATGGACAGAAAGAAATTCGGGATTAGGGAGCATTGCTAAAACGCGCGACATGCGAAAGCCTAAGGAAGAGCTGCGGCCTCTTAAAGTTATGCTTTGGAAATGAAGAGCTCACATTCCCGCTGCAATGGTACAACTGCAGCAATAGATGTCCTTTCGTCGACCTCGCTCATTTGTGCTCATCTCTTTTAGCGTTGACGGTACCTAAAGACAGCATGGTGTGATGGAACTATTCGAGCTAAGTTTCCGTGCTAGTTCATCGTGAGCTCCACTTGTGTCGGGAAGCGGTGCAACATGATGGCATGGATGCATGCTGAACACCTGCGCACATTTCTTTCGTTTAGTCACTTGGACCAGCTGGGGCTTGAGACTATCGGGGGACAGTTGTTCATGAACATATTCGGAGGTTAGAGAGGGCGACCAATTACGCTTCAAAATCATGATTAGACCCAAGAGAACAGTGCCATTATCTCCTGACTATAGCCCAAAAACTATTCAAAGATTTGTTTGTCTAGAATCTATTTCAATTATGTGACTGGGGTTTGTCATTTTCAGTTTTATTTTTCTTATAAATTCGGCTTACTCTAAATGTTTTTTTTGTTTTTTTTATCTTGAAAGGACATTTGCATTTTTTCAACATGACAAAGTCTCAGTTGATGGGGTGCACAATATTTGTTGCACAAATATTGTGCAACAAAAAAGGCGTCATTATAACAGCCTACTGCTGTGCGATTGTAAACCAGAAAGTACTTGTTCTCGCGTCGTTACGCAGCTACTGTCCTTGACTCAACGCCTCACTCATTTGAAACATGCCCATTTGCTGCCCTCTTGCGCATAGGTACAATGTGAAATGGCTCTCTCAATAGCATGTCGGGGTGCACGCACAGTTGAAGTCACTGTTGCTAGCCAATGTGTCGTTCCATTGGTACGTTTCTGGCATAGTTTCAAAGTTGAATAGACATACCAAAAGTCAGCTTCTTATTACCTCCCGCCATGGAGACGATTCCCGTGTCCCTAATCACTGATGTATGAACCAGAAAATTGTACAAACTGGGAACATATGAATGAGGTTCTACTGCAGTAAAAACATAAATTTAAAACTTCAATTTTGTTCGCACAAAAGCAATGGGCTTTCCGTAATCAAGGAAGTCACTAAGGTTCAGACCCGTAAACATTCTAGGATTATGAATTAAAAAGAACAGAACATTCCAAAGCATGAGTATTCTTGATTAATATGTCTGTTGACACTGAATATTTCTTCTCGTGTATCAGCTGGCATGGAAACGAAAAGCAGAACTTCAAACACATAAATTTAAGATGGTGCTAGCATATTTGTTTTTATGATTTTTTTCCTCCGTTTTTAATTAGAAGATAAAAAGTGTGGGAGAGCTATCATTTCCAATATACCGTATTTACTTGCATAATGAACACACTTTTTTCCCCAAAAAATTGACACATATTTGGGGGTGGGGAGGAGGAGGAGGAGAGGGGGGAGCATTAATTACTCAGGGTAAATTTTTGCATTTACAGAGTTTGTGCCAATGTTGTATTAGGTGCCAATATGACATGGCAAAGTACTGTGCCACATCTCCACCGATGGAGGCGCACCAACGGCTGGTCAGGGGCGCGCCCAGTAACCGTGCTTTACAAATCGTAAACTTTTCAGGGCGCTTTCGGCGTGTCACTTGCCAAAGGAAAAGCGCCCTACGAAGGTCACTCAGCATGGAGAGCAATGTGACCGTTCTTAGGCCTAACCACTTTCACTCACTGTCTGAAAGCGGACCACAGATGATGGCGTGTTTGTTGACATCAATTGCATCCGATAGGCGAAGAATGTCCGGGGCTGGGCGATTCCTCGACCAAGCTTCGTCATGTGTGCGCGCCGCTCGGTTTCAAGGTTGATCACTTTTGCAACTGCGCACTTGCGGCCCAAGGTCACTCTCTACTGGGAAGGTACCGCCAAGCCTCTTTTCCCTCGCAAATTCCCGACCCTTTCCTCTCCATGACTCTCCCACTCTTTCGTTTCGACGCTAGCACTGCCTAGGACACCCTCGCTGTGGGACGGCTCGGCTGGTCGCCACTGAAAATGCCGCGAGAATGCGTGTTTCTCGATTGTTTTAGCTGGCACGGTTTTGTTTTCTCCAAGATATGAGTTTGCGATCTCGACGCTATATTTACCTCTGGGTATGTCTTTTTATTGTCACGTTTAGCGCGTGCACGTCGGTTTTGTTGAGCTTCGGGTGCACGTCAGGATACGCTGCTAGTTTTGCGTATGCTCGGATCGATTAGTCGTTCAAGATCATATGCTATGTTTTGCTGTATGAATATTTATTAAAAAAAATTTGAACTCCTTAACAGATACCCATAACATCATTCCTCCATAGTCTGACATTTTAGCGATAGGGTGAAGGTGATAAGAGGCAACCAGTGCAGGCTCCGCGAGTTGGAATGCCAGGCACATTCCAACTAGCGCGAGGTTTCGATCAAAGCCGCTTTCTCGAGCTGTGGACAGGGAATGGCCTTGTTGCTGATTGTTTATACGTTTCATGTTAGGGACCAGCGAAGTGAAAGCTTGCCATGCTCTGTGCCTCCCTGGCTCGCATGCGAGCTGGTGCAGTGCGGGCACCGTTTTTTCAGGCTGCGTGCTCGCGTTCGTAGCTTTTGCCTCGTGCAAAGGTACAACGAAATGAAGTATAGTTGTCCAGAAATAGCCTTCAGCAGTTATCAGAGCGCTGAAACGTCTGCAGCAACCACCATTGTACACCGTGACAAAATGCAAACAACGGAATTTTTTTTTTTTTGTAACCATGTGCGAGTAGGTTACTGAAGGGGAGGATTGTATGGAAGAAATTTGTCCTTGATGACTTCAGCTTGCTATTAATTGCGTAATTATACATACTAAAGGGGTTTTAACGATTTTTAAGCATTAGTATTTTCATAAATGGATTCTTCAGCATACTGGGGAATGATGCGAGTGCAAACCTTAGGGACAAAATTTGATCATTCACTTGTTAGTGATGGAACTAGTCTCAATTGGAAAATTGACATAGCTTTAGATAAGCTATACATGTAAACGATACAGTGCCCATGTTATAGGGCATACGTTGAAGCAGTCCATCG